AAAAAAATTACCCCCCCCCCAAAAAAAAACGAAAAAACCAGCAACACTTTTTAGAGAGTTATTTTTCCTAGCTGAGGAGCAAATATATTTAATGTGATCATTTCCATTGATAAATGCCATAGTACCTGTATCTAATTATAAAAAATTTAATGCAGAATGAAATTTTATGACTGCTAGTCTCTTGTGATCCTACGGAAAAGAATCCAGAAAATTCTTTTTCTTTCTTTTTGACCAATTTTTGTAAAATGCGGGATAAATTGCACTTTGCAAACTCGCACAGCATGAGAGATTATAAGCCATCTGCTACAGAGAATATCGTAGCATCGCTTTGCTTCAATCACATAGTAAATAAGATTATCATAACTTGTTTGAATAACATTTTTATAACAAACCCTTACAAAGTTGTGCATCAAAAGTTTTGGATCATGTATTTAAAATATATATTGTTAAGTGTTTCGTATAAAAACCATCTCGCATATGAAAAACATTTTTTTAAGGAACAGCTATGGAATGAATGTTTATGGAGTACAAAAGTCCCATCCTTTACAATGCATACTCAGAAATCTTTAATTTTCATGAGGGTATAATTTTCGTTGTTTTCGAGTTATGAAGAGACCCAGGAATTCATGTCCACCACGAAATGTAAAATTAATTATACATATACTACTAAACATTTCCCCTACAGGAAATCAAACCCCATCAAAACCAATATTTTTTCTTCAAACCTCGAAAAACCGTCGGTAGAGCGCTCGCTTCGTGATCGGAAGGTCGTGTGTTCGAATCATGGCCGCGACTGACCTAAGTCGATAAAAAATAGGTAGCAACAGTTCCTTCGCCAAGCGCTCAGCACATTGAAGTGAAAGTTGTGTGTCCTTCGGATGAGACCTTAAAAACCGAGGCGCCGTTGTCACCTCAGGCGTTGGCACGATAAAGATCCCTCACTGCTCAATGGCCCTGAGGTCTAAATTTGAAGTCCTTCACCGGTATATGGTCTCTATATGAGTGAAAAATTCTCGAACGGGACGTAAAACAACATACAATCAATCAAACCTCAAAAAACTGACCCCACGAAAATAATTGATTTCGCGGTATACTGAAAGTTGAAATTGGAAAAGAGTAATTGATTTGTTTATTATTTCACAAACTCTGATTTTTTAAATCGCCGAATGTCTGAGACTGTTGATTAAATTTTATTCATTCTGACACAAATTGACCTGGTTTTTATTTGAATCATTGTGTTGAGTTTTTGTAAAAAATGAATCATACATTTTCTTTTAAGAGAACTAAAAAGTGCAACATATTTACAAGTGAATTTGCAATTCCTGGGACTATGTGTGTTCTATTTTTACATCATATTTTAGTCAAATATACAGGTATCAATATAATTTACTGAGTTTTTGTAACCAAAAAGTTACCTTAATAATCAGTATCACATACGTTTGCAATAGTCTGATTGGTAATTTTTAAATAATGCACATTCTCAAGTCGAATATCGGATTTTACAATATTCTTACAGGGGTCTGAAAGGTCATATTTCAATCTATGTGGGCAAAACATTTGTGATAGAATTTCTTTCTAAGATATTAACAGTGGTGAAGGAGAAACTTCAAGAGTACTGTGCAACAATATATTCGAGAAGTGGTGTAAATCAGATGTGGATACTAAAACATTCCAAGGAACTTTTGGAAAATTTGAAATCACAAGATTTTACCAAAATCAGCAGCTTAAAAACTTACGACTTTTCAACTTTATACACAACCACTCCCCACCATAAATTAAAGTCCAGGCTTTTTGATATCATTGACAGCTGCTTTTTCAATAAAAATGGAACTCGTAAATATACTTACCTTGTCATTGGTCATTTGCAAAATTATTTTGTTAAAAAACATTCTGATTGTACACACAAGTACTCTGAAGTTGACATTAAAAAGATGCTTGAGTTTCTGATTGATAATATCTATGTGGTTTTTGGAGACCAGGTCTTCCAACAATGTATTGGAATTCCCATGGGTACCAATTGCGCTCCGTTATTAGCGGACCTTTTTTGTATTCATATGAAGCAGGATTTGTCCAAAATCTTGTACGTGAAAAGAAGAAAACACTTGCTGTGGCCTTCAACTCGACATTTAGATATATCGACGACGTATTGTCAATTAACAATGGCTATTTCCATTCTTATGTCGATACGATATATCCTGGTGAGCTTGAGATAAAAGATACCACAGAGACTGACACATCTGTTTCATATTTGGATATTTTACTTGAAAAAGACGTTAATGGTAATCTATCAACCAAGCTTTATGATAAACATGATGACTTTAACTTTTCAATCGTCCACTTCCCTTACTTACGCAGCAATATACCTTCATCACCTGCATACGGGGTATATCTCTCTCAGTTGATTCGATACGCAAGAGCATGCTCTACGTATGTACAATTTCTAAAACGAGGTAAATTATTGACAAACAAGTTGATGAAACAAGAATATCAGCTGTCTCGTTTAAAGTCATCATTTCGTAAGTTCTATGGTCGATACAATGACCTTGTCAGCAAATACAATTTATCATTGAGTCAAATCCTGACTGATGTTTTTGTACTAATTGTTAGGCCATTATTTACACACTGAATTGTCTAAGGATTTTTCCGTTATTTCCCGATCATGGCAAGGAGCACACGGCGGGTGTGACCGGTCGGCAGGGGATGCTCACTCCTCCATGGCACCTGATCCCACCTCTGATGGTTTGGAGGTCCATGTTTTCTCTGCTCCTATTTTGTAATGTTTAATGGACTTTTGAGCTTGAATACTGTTCGTTATCTCCATATATTTCATCTGATTTACACCACTTCGAGAATATTTTGTAACACAGTACATCTGAAGTTTCTCCTTAACAGCACTTTGTATTTTGGTAACTGCAAGGCAATATATCTTTGTAAGGCTTTTTGTGAAGTCTAGGAATCCAGTATATGTAGTTTAGATCGAACTCACCTCGGTTGACTGTAATATTAAAGGTACGATACACTGAAAGGTGATTTTGAAGAATATCAGTGAACTGCGGGTGTATGTTGAATTTCCCGACAATGTTCTCCCAAAATACAGTTATAACAATAAGCCTTGCAAACAAAGACGATATTGTCAGCAGCCTTATCTGCTAGAACCATATGATTAGTTATAAATCAAGAAGGACAGTTTTGAAAATTTTGTAAATAAATTTAAATTTTGACAATATTTATTTGAATTGGAACATTAAAATCTAATCAAACATAGATATATCTGTTTCAATTGCATAAATTGTGATTCAAAGTAAAAAAGGCACAATTTACAATCTTTAATTGTTGTATTATTCCACCTGGAATTTAAATGTCAGGGAAAGCAAAATTCAAATTCTGCAGTTCAATAATTTTTAGAGATACAGACATAATCCAATTACAGATCACATACAGAATAATTTTAAACAACTCTTAATGTTATGATGCATGTCAATTTATTTATTTATTTTTTGAATACATGTAATGTACATGTTTTTATTAAATTAATGCATCATACATGTCACTCATGGAACTAATTAATCCAATGATTATAGTGACCCTCAGTTCCATTTCAATTTGAACAATGCCCATGAATGTCAAAATGTTTCTTTTATATAACATGTGTGGAAAGGAGTACTAAGTTTTTAGAACGTTTGCCCAGTTTTATTTTTAAAAAGTTTAGACAAAAAAAAAGTTCAGGAACTTTTTTTTCTGATAAGTAGTCATAGACTTCAGCGAAACATTTCCTAAGAATGTAATCAAAAGTAGTCAAATGTTGTCATAATTACTAAGAAAACAGAAATAGTAATTTAATCCATTATTATCCAAAAAGAAGTATTTAAATTTAATTTTAAACATGATATTTCAATAAGGTACATGTAATTTCATCAATTAAATGCAATTTTCAATTTACCACGTCTGGCACCAAAGGAAAAAATGAGATAATGATAAAAGGAAACAGAACGAAAACACGTAGGGAATCGGAAGATCTTATTAATAAAAACAGAGTAAAACATTATGTTCCCAAACTTCGTTTTGAGAACGTTATATTAAGAAACAGAAATCAAATATTTTCCCCAAACTTTCTTTGAGAAACATATATATGCTGGATCAAGATCGATGCCAAGAACAGTTTACGAAACGGATAAATGTCATCCCCCCCCCCCCCCAACCATTTATATTGTTTCAAGACAAAGGACATGCTATTGAAAGGTTAGTTTCACCCTCTCAACCAACTTAAGCTGTGGTGTCCCCCAAGCAATATGCGTATTGAGAGGAAAAGAACAAATCAAGAAAATAATAAATCTAGAAGTTCAAAATACCCCAATCCAAGGATAAAAGGTGATAGCAATTTGGATGACAATATATACGATGACAAAATATCCCTTTCATCTTTTTTCTGTTCAAATAGCCTATTCTTCGGGACACTACGCTATGAGGTCACTGGATTTCTTCTGTTCCTCTCACTCACAGTATATCCAGGGATTAGGGGCTCCTCACTAAGTCAGGGATAAGGTACGGTCTCAAATCGTTTTTAAACTGTTTTGATCTTTTTCTTCTAATTGTTTGTTTGTTTGTTTGATGTTTAACGTCCTTTTCGAGAATTTTTCACTCATAGAAACGCCACCACTTGTCGGTGGAGAGCTGCAAATTTTGACCTATACTGGGCACTTATGGCCATTGAACAGTGAGGGGTCTTTTTCGTGCCAGCACCTACTGTGGCACGGGACCTCGGTTTACACGGTCTCATCCGAAGGGCTGGTCTCCTCGTCCCACAGTGGGATTCGAACCCGCGACGTAAGGATCAACTCCTTACTCCGCGACTCTAGAGCGAACCCTCTAACCACTGCGCCACGCGGGCAAGTTTTCTTATGATTAATAAAGGGGTATTTGAATAATCTAACTACCAGAGAACACATTTCAAGCGTCAAATACTCTACAGTGATGTATTCTTTTTATTCATCATCTAAAAGTTATTTGGTACAAACAACACACGTTGCGTCTCTGTCATTATGATAAGGCGGACACGCCAGAGAACCACATGCAATTCTGACTGTATACAGGAGCTTTCCGTCCAATGTCAAACCATCTCCAGCATGCCATTGTTCTGAATGTTCATCCAAGCAGATGTAACTTGAGGAGGATTGAAATGCTTCGTTTCCAGACGCTAAGTAGCCCCTGTACTGAATTTTCCATCCAGGGTAGCAAGATGATTTTCCGGGAAGCATGAGTGTGGTCTCCTCGGTCCTACTTCTGCACACGGCACAAAGAACATTTTGTCCGACTTTCGATCCGGTTATTCCGTGATCATATTCCACGCCATGGATATACTGACCACTTCCGATATCTGGAACTAAATCTGGATCCGGCACCATGCAAAGGAAATCAGCAGGTCCACCGACCTTGGAATATTTCGACCCACCTGCATATCCTGAAAGAAAAAGCCACCGTGACATTTCAATATTTACTTTACACTATAAATAGGGTTATAAAAGATGGAAATTACCTCTGTCTGAAAAAACAAATATATTGAAGTAAACTTCCAGTAAGTTGACTAAAAATGAAACAAATTATATAACTGGAGGGAAGTGATGCATGAAAAATCAATTTTCTTAAATCAGACATGCAGACAGAAGTTAAGTTGAAGGTTCAATCCGTCTGCATTTTTAACGATATGCTTGATAATCTGAGGGTCCGATAGAGAATGGTCCAAAAAATACTGCAGAGCTGTCAACGACCCTCACCTTTTAACATTTAATCGAAGGTTAGTCTTGAATTCCCTTCATATTTTTCAATTACTAGTGTATGATGTAAAATAAGATAGTGGAGTGCAAAACAAATAAAAGAAAAAAAAATCTAACGTTGGCATGTAATGCAATTACAATTAATGTAAGACAATTAGTATATCAAATCATATTGACAAGAACATTACTATGATTTAAAAAAAATGTTAATTGTCTGTTTCTGAAATACTGTGTTCTTGAAGTTGTTCTTAATGTTCGTGCATGAAACACCATTACAAATCATACATGTTGTACATTTGTGTCGTTTTATGGAATTTTTAATTGTCCTAATACCTTATTTAATTATTTGTATAAAACAAAGCCCTTTTACCTGAGTAAACTAGATCCGTTGTGTTGTCAGGACAAGTCTTTCTACCCCATCGGATAAACAGTGCGCCACCTAAAACAAAATAATAAAAAGGGATATTTGATATCCTTTACTCCTTTTTTAGTTTATAAACCGAGAGGACATAAAAAGACATATAATTAGAAAGTCAAAATGATAAAGAAAGAGGTTACCTGATTCTGTCTTCGCCATTGTTTGATATTTAGATGACAGGGACTGAATTTGTAAAGCATTGTCGTCATTTTTATTGCTTTCTCGGAGTAACTTAAGCGTAAGATCTGTTAAAGTCGATGAATGGGTCTGAGATTTCGAAGTGAGATCCCGAATTAAGGTTTCCTGAGCTCTTACCTTGGCCTCAAGGTCATGAATGACTCTAGATTGGTTACTATTGACAGTCTTTGTTAAAAGAGCTTCTGACTTCAACTCGTTAATGATGGATTCTTGTGCCATAAACTTGTACGTTAGATCCAAGAGTTTACTCTGCAAATCTTGAAGATGAGAATACTCAGTGCTTCTGTTGTTAATGAGAAACCGCTTCTCAATGTCTTCACAATGCACCTTGACATATATCACACAACACAATGTTGAAAGGAACACAGACACGAGACTAACGACCGCCATGGATTAATATTCCCCCTGAACTGTTTTGTCTTATCAAATGCCCTGTGGCATGTTATGTCATTCTCTTGTTCACAAATATATAGATAAGTGTACATACAACTAAAGGACAGATGATGCAAACACTTTTTTTCAACAATTTTGAAAATAACAAGTAAAGTCATATTGTAATAAGTGAAATGAATAATATTAACAATGTAGATTCCATTTTTCATTCAAAAAATCCAAATAATATCTTGTAAAAAGAAAAAAGTTGCATAGATCTGTAAAGATGATTGCAGAAAGGTAGAATTTTGAGCACAATAGAAATCTTACAATTTCTTTATATTTTAGATTTGTATCATTTACAATCAAAAAGTCCAAAAATATATATCATCCAACCATTTTTTGGGGGTTGTATCATCTGTCCTTAATCACAGTTTATGACACAGTTGACCAACAACAATGACTTTCTCATTTTTTTTTTATAGAATTGAAACACTCTCTACTGTTTTCAACTTATGTTTTTCTCTGAACTTTTGTTTTTTACAAGTGTGATACTCTTTAGAACAAGTCGCCCGCGTGGAGCAGTGGTTAGGGCGTCTGCTCTAGAGTCGCGAAGTAAGGAGTTGATCCTTACGTCGCAGGTTCGAATCCCACTGTGGGACGGGGAGACCGGTCCTTCGGATGAGACCGTAAAAACCGAGGTCTCGTGCCGCAGTAGGTGCTGGCACGAAAAAAACCCCTCACTGCTCAATGGCCGTAAGTGCCGAGCATAGGACAAAATTTGCAGCTCTCCACCGACAAGTGGTGGTGTCTCCATATGAGTGAAAAATTCTCGAGAGGACGTTAAACAACATACAATCAATCAATCCTTAGAAAGTTCAGGAAAATCCTCTTATACTTATGTACTCGCAAAACTTGTTTTTGCAGTGATTACTGTATGTTGGATGCGTTGTTTACTATAACGGTAACAAGGAATTAATTGTCTGAGTTGTGAGTCTCTCGGAAATCTTGATGAATTTCCTGTTATCTTCACACACATATTGATCAAGCCCTGAGCTCCAAGTAAAGGTCTAGGAGCAAAGTTCACTAAGGACCTTTTTGGCCCTGTCAATTTTTAAACATCAAAACTGCTCAATTTTAGTTTACAGTGCAATAAATATCAATTGCATCATTGGGGACTATATATCTGTTGAAAATGACGTAATTTTCTTGCTAGTCAACGCTTTATCTTGATATAAATGGTCAACCCCTTCTTACTATGAATAGATGTGTAATATGCAGGTCAGTGGTCATTTGTATTTTGTCTACTTTCGTTTCCCAGAGTTGCGTTCTTGTGTAAATTACAAGAATTAAGTAAGTAATATTAGAACGAGTGCAGATTATTGATGATACAATGAACATGAATTATAAAAAGATTTATGACACCTTTGTATGCTGACTAGTATCTACTAAGAAGATGACAGTTTACAGATACGTTTAGAATTTGGAACACGTGTTGGTGACATAGTGCAAGGAAAATAAACAATAAAATAGCGCATCACTCGTTTTGTGACAAAATGTATACCTGCAATTGACCCTTGGTGTTTTCTACTTTGTTGTGATTGATTTATTTTCGCTGGCACTCAATAGATTAACGTATTTTTACATAATCAGTTTTGTTTACTGGATCGCCATTTGGTAAAGCCACACTTCCGGTGCAGAAGTCACCAAAGGGATGACGTCAAGTTGGGTACTACGTCATGATTTACATTGGTAACATTGGGGTTCCGGTGAAAATAGTATATATATACCATGATTTACCAGTTGGAGTCGGGGGGAAAAGTTGTAATAACACACGTTGAGAATTGAGAGAAACAAGTCAGAAAATGTAAGTTTGGGCAACAGTTTCTATTAGACAGCAAACATAACAACTAGATAACAGTAATAAACAGTCTGTTGGTGCCAGTCTTTTTTTTTATCCTCCCCCTCCCTTTTTCCTTCGGTTTAAGTTCGTCCTGCATAATCATATGGAAATATAACAAACCAACTTAGATTTATTGGCATTAAAATATATTTCATATTGTACCAATCTCTATAATATTCTCTCAAATAAATTAATTGAAACTTGCAAAAGTTATTATTTTATTGACAACAGTACTACATTGAAAATCTCGGGTACGTTACAAATTTTTGGTGGCAGCGGTGGGATCCTGTAAATTTTTCGGGATCCAGTGGTCGAATCTACACTTCATTTGTTCTGAAATTAAACAAAACAAAGAAATATGAGTAAATCACATTAGGTTATAAAACAAATCATGGCAGACTCTCTTGATGAAGTTTAGTTCAATGCCGTTCGAGGTGACGACGATGAGCAGTTAAAAGTCCACAGTGAAGATGAAGAATCGAAATCAGAGTTACATATTGGTCATGGTGATGTTATGGATAAATGCGATGGAAGATTTATAGATAGAATGATGAGAACCTGTTTCACCTGGTAGACGCCCACCTTCTCTGAAACCAGAAAAGTATGACGGCAGACCGACTGGGACCAATATTTATGCCACTTCCAGGTTTGTGCTGAATTAGAGAAATGGGACAACAAAGAAAAGGTTCTAGCTTTGTCAGCAAGTTTAAGGGGAGCAGCGCGTACATTTTTTATGAGTTTGGGGACATCTGAACGAAATGTTTACGAGACAGTTTTGATGAAATTGGGTCAGAGATTCGGTAGTTTGCGGCAGCAAAACAGGTGGCTAGCGAGGTTCGAGTCAAGAAAACGACAACCTGGGGAATCAATAGCAGCTTTGGGGGATGTTTTAAGACAAATGGCTCAAAAGGCGTATGTTGGGCTTGACACTACTGCGCAAGAGGCCATATCGCTCAACCAATTATACAAGACCATTACCTTAGAAATGAAATGCAGATGTATAGATGGTAATTGTCAAACTGTATCAGAAGCACTAGATGTAATAGAAAGATATGAAGGCATTCTGGGAGACCAAACTCTGAAGAAGCCTAGTGTTCGTGTTGTGGCCGCCGAGGCTACTTCAAAGACAAATAACTCTGAGGTCCAGAAAATGTTTAAAGAATTGATGAACAGAATTGAGAAGCTCGAGAAAAATGTTTCAAACAAAGCTACAGTAGATCGAACTTGTTTCCTTTGCAAAACGCCAAACCATTTCTACAGAGAATGCCCAATGAACAAAAAGGGACAGATGCAGAGAAATGATCAGAGATACATGCCTCCACCTCAGAGACCTTATACGGCAGGGCGACCCAATGGACAGTTCCAGGGAAACTCAAGGCCATCCTCTCAGTAGGCCCAGACAGGATGGAGGAAAAAGGGCCTGTTTTAGATGGTTGCAAGCATTTGGATGTGAGACTTGGTTATTTTTGAGAACTGGGAATATGGGACAATAGATTTTATGTAACAGCATCAATTGGGAAAAATGTTGCTAATTTTCTCATCGACAGTGGCTCCACGTCAACATTGCTGTCTAGTCAACTTTATCAGTCCCTTAATACAAATGAACCAATCCCATTACACTATGTCAAAAAGAAATTAAGAGATTTAAATGGCAACGATCTAGTAATTCATGACAGTGCAGAAATTCCTGTACAATTCAAACAAGCTGTATACCAGATTCCTGTACTGGTCTGTGACATCACCCAAGACGTTATTTTAGGACAGGATTTCCTCTTGAAATATGCCTGTAAAATAGATTACCAGAAATTACAGATAGTTATGGGCGATGAGACTTTGAACTGCTGGACAGGTGGCAATGCTGCAATGGTATGCAGAGTACAAGTGAAAGAAACAACTAGTTTACCACCCCAGTCCCAGATGATGATCCCAGTCAACATTCCTTATGCTTGCAAGTTATCTGAAACAGCCCTTATTGAACCATCAGTTGAGTTGGTGGAAAAGAAAGGAATTCTTCTAACTCCGGGGATAATTATTTCAATTTCAAATAATCAGATGGTGAATGTTATAAATTTTTCAGACAAAGAAATAAAGTTGTACCCAAATACTCATCTTGGTTGTTGTAGCTCTTTAATTACAGATCCCTCGAAATGTGTGCTAGAGTAGTCAGCTCTGAGAAGAAAGTTGATTTTCCTGAACATCTCAAAGACCTATTACAGCGCAGTTTCGTTCATCTAACAACAGAAGAAACCAAGCAGCTAAAGCAATTGCTTTTCAGATATGAAGATGTCTTCTCAAGAAACAATCAAGATATTGCAATTGGCAGAACCGATAGAGTGGTCCACAGAATCGAAACTGGTAATGCCCCTCCAATTAGAACACAACCTCGCAAATTGCCAATAGGTAAAAAGAAAACTGAACAAGATTGATTGATTGATTGTATGTTGTTTAACGTCCCTCTCGAGAATTTTTCACTCATATGGAGACGCCACCACTTGTCGGTGGAGAGCTGCAATTTTGTCCTATGCTCGGTACTTACGGCCAGTGAGCAGTGAGGGGTCTTTTCGTGCCAGCACCTACTGCAACACGGGACCTCGGTTTATACGGTCTCATCCGAAGGACCGGTCTCCCCGTCCCACAGTGGGATTCGAACCCGCTACGTAAGGATCAACTCCTTACTTCGCGACTCTAGAGCAGACGCTCTAACCACTGCGCCACGCGGGCGACTTGAACAAGAAGAAGTAAAGAAAAGCTAGATCATGGTATAATTGAGCCTTCTAGGAGTGCTTGGTCTAGTGCTATTGTTCTTGTTCCTAAAAAGGATGGTTCAACCCGCTCTTGCGTAAACTACAGGAAATTAAACGAAATTACAATTAAGGATGCCTATCCCTTAAACCGGGTGGACGATTGCCTAGATTCCCTGGCCGATTCAAAATGGTTCAGTTCTATGGATTTGAACTCAGGCTTTTGGCAAGTTGGTATGGCAGAGGTACACAGGGTGAAAACTGCATTTTCCACCAGCCTTGGTTTCTTTCATTTCAAGGTCATGCCATTCGGGTTATGCAACAGTCCAAGCACTCTTAGTCGCCTCTTAGATGATGTATTACGTGGGTTGCAG